TAATAATGGTACTACAGTAGTTGTAGCTGGCATTCGTTTCGGTCAAGCTATATGGTGGCTAAAAACTCATTTCCCTATAGTGGAAGAAGAGCTTCGGGATTTGATGTATGGAACAATTAGAAAGGGAAATATGACTATTGATGAATTATATAGAAAATTATTGCGAATAGGTAGACGAGCCAACTATAGGCCTAAAGAATTACGTAGAAAGTTCTTAGATGCTCTTCCACTCCCTTGGCTCAAAAAAGCTGAGGATATCGGCGAACATTTGCCATTAGATGAATTAGCTAAAAAGCTATATGAGATAGAGTTACGGTGAATAGCTAGGCATAAAAAAGATAAAATACCTGATCCACTAGTGTCTCGGCAAATATATGAATCTTCACCCGTTTCGTCTTCTCAACAACAAGAAATTTCCTTAGCAGATATGGAAAAAAGATTTCAAGATGCATTAGTACAACAAAAAACTGAATACCAGTCTTTATTGGAAAAGTTGGAAAAGCAGAAAGCCGAATTTCAAGTACAGATGGTACAACAAAGCAAGAAAACTCCTTCACCAATTCCTCCTAAAAATATAGAGCAATTACATTATTCATATGAAAGTGATAATCCCTTTGATGGGCCTCCTATACCACATAAACCAGATAAATTACGTTCAGCAAGAATTGATAGATTAGAATCTATAATGGGTAAAGTTGCAGACACCATGGGTAGTGTTGCAGATTCTGTAGGACAACTAACTAATCAATTAGGAAGAATGTCACTTAATGATCAATCTCGAAAGCCTTTCTATTGCAGTAATTGCGGACGGGAAGGGCATAAGAAAAATAATTGCCCCAGCTTAAATCCTGTAGCTAAATCAAATTTTACACGTTACTATCCTCAACTTCCATCTACACAATCCCAATATACACCTCCGGCTTCAGATGATAATGATGATGATAATAGTGGTAGTTATGATGAAGAAAATAATAGATGGATTGGATATGATCTATCAGAAAAAAAAAACAAGTATTAGTAAATAAAAAGTTGTCTCGAGAATCCAACCAGCCTGAAACATATGACGAGCTAATGCCAAAGCTTTCACCGGCAATGCGTAAAATGTGTCTATCTTGAAAGGCTCAGAAGGATAAGTCAAAAAAAGATGAGTGGTTTTCGTCCCTACAATACTTGAATGCTAGTATAAATGACTTACCAATCTCTGAATCTTTTTTAGATAATGGAAGCGAATTTGATGGATTTAATTTAGCTACTGCTGAAGTGCTTGGATGGAAAGTTGATAAGCCTTCCAAATTCGCTGTAAAAGGTAATTCTGAACATATCTCTGAAGCACTAGGATAGTATATGAATGTACCAGTCACTCTAAAGGACACGAAAGGAAATCCAATTACTACTATTGTTGAAAATTATGCTTGTGTTGATAATGGTGAGCCCAAGCCAATGCTATGGTTAGGTACAACAAGAATTCGAAAAGTCAAAGGTATTTCTGATCCAACTAAAAACCGGTTCCACATAGAGGATCATGGAAAGATATACACTATCCTGACCTTTAGCAAGATGCCAAAAATAAATGATTCACCAAAAGGGGAGCAGGGCTAAGCATCCACCAATTCCTCTAGCCCGATTAGTGAAGACTTAAAAAAAGTGCGAAGATCTTGAAAAGCGCCTCTTGAAAACTGAGAAATGGCTTGACTTGGCATTAAATGCATGTAAAATTTTAGTGGAAAGATATCTTCTTGCGATTTCATCGCTCGAAGTCACGAATTAGATAAATATTTCATTTTTTGAATTGGTTTTTTATCTACTAAAAATGAATATACTAAATATTCTCTTAATATATCTGGCTTCGAGCAAGAATTGTGAGAAGGCGGGCTTATAGAGAAAAGATCGGATGCGTAACAATGTTTTCAGTAATATTTAATAATTTATTAAGATCAGATTCCCGTCTAGATGTATCATCTTTGAAAGAATTGACTATTCTATTTTTTTCTACCGGAGAAGATTCACCTTTTGCCTTCATACTATTTTTTTTTCGACTAACCTTATCTTTTTGTTCGCTAGTTACTGTATTCAGCCTTATATAAGAATTTGTGCCATCTCTATCATTTCCGGTATGCTCTGTATGAATAACCTCATCTTCTTGTATGTTAGTAGGGGAGGTATCATGCTCAGCACTTACCGGCTGTAAAGATTCTTGGTTATTTTCTAAAATCTAATCAGGAACACTAACAGATTCTAAGATTCTATGCCACTCCTCAGTTGGTTCAGGAGACCTCTGATTATTAATAATTTTTTGATATGTTGTTGCTCCTATATGATGTTTTTTACACATAATACGTCGAGCATTCGAAATATTATTCTGAGCATTTTTAATTTCTTCAATGGCTTCGGATAACAAGTGGGTGGCATCCGATCTAAGAAATTTACGAGTACAGGTTAATAGTTTTTTACTTATAACTTGTTAATAATAAATTTTTATGATACCAATAATAAACTTGTAAAAAATTTATTCGCTATCTATTTGGCATTGGTCTAATATTGGTCTGATATTAGTTTGATATATATAGAAAATTTGCTTTCTTTAACACGTAGCTTGCTATAACCGTGATCCAAATAAAAAATAGGTTTGAGATGTGTATAGTTTAAATATCATATTTGTCTTAAACTGGTTTATTTTTAGTTTGATATCGGTTTGATTTCAATTCCCTTTCTCCACATTCGAAGAAAAAAAAACATGCATATGAATGATTTTCATCAACCACTTTTAAGCTTGCGAAAAAAAGCAGAATTACCAAGAAAAAAAATATATTTACTTTCAAGTAAATTTATATGGCAAATATGCATACACTAAATGAGATAAATAGTGGGGTAGCTCTAGTATCTGGCAATAAACTTGGGGATTTGCTATCTAATCGATATCCACCCAGCCGAACAGAGCTTGAGAACCAACTTACTTGTACAAAGTGTGACCTCGATATTGCTTTAAGCTCGGGTATTCAGCTTGGTATTAAATGCAATCTCTTGATAAAAAATAATGAGAGCTTTTCAGAGCGTGTATGCCAGCTTGAAAATGAGGCGAGAGAACTCAAAAATCAGATTACTCACAAAGATATTTCTCTTACAAGTGCTAAAAGCGAGATCACTGCTAAATTGGAAGAGATACGGGCTCTCTAATTAAGAGTAAAAGAATTGAAGCAGAATCTTTCTTTAGCACAAGATGAGTTATCAGAAATGGAATCTCTCAAGAATGAATCTGAACTAGAAAATACTAACCTATTTTTAGCAAAATTGGACTTAGAAAAAACTCTGTCTAGAGAAAGAGATGAATTGACACAGATAAAGGATGATTTAGTTTCAGTACGAAAAGCATTATCAGAGAAAGATTTCCTTCTTCAAGAAGCTAATGCTTGTTTAGCAAAGCAGATTTTGAAAGCATCTGGTGAGACTAATAGGGTGATTGGAGGTATTAATGGACTGGAGAAAGGTAATGGCATCACTAGGCCTGAAACAACCTCAGTATCACCCAATTTCTTCTTTTTTCAGCTTGCGATCTTTTTCATAATACTATTATTAATAATATACTTTCTATGGTCCATCTTTTCTCATCTATATTCTTCTATTTCAACTTACAATGAAGAAAAAAATATTCCAAATTATTAAATAGAAATCAGAGTTATGGATTCCCAATCCGATATGCAAAAGAACCAAAAAAAAGAACTACCCAAAGGGGGCACCTCCCCCCTATTAAACTTTACCTTATGGATATGGATGAGGCCACAAAGCACGAGTCATCCCGAAATGTTGGATATCTGGCAATGATATGGCCTTTCAGCATGATAGTCAACAGAAGAAGTGATACAGGTAAAACCAATTTACTAGCAAACCTTGTTCTTGGAGATAAATGTGAACATATATATAAAAGACAAAAAGGAGGATCCAGATATATTAGATGCGATGATTTGATAGTTTGCGGTTACCATCCTAATGAGCCGAAATAGGCATTCGTTAGATATATGTATGGAGTAATAGCAAGTAATCCCAAAGCACCCTATTACGAGAACATTAGATTCAGCTGCATATCACCAGAACAAATTCCTAGTGTGAAGTCATTTTCACCTGAGAGGAGCACCGTAATCATTTTTGAGGATGTATGTGTTGCTCCCGAGTCTATCCAAAATCAAATTATATCATTTTTTACACATGGGCGACATTATAATATTTCTCCATGCTATGTTACTCAAAAATATCATCATATACCAATTATTATTTGTGAGAATATCTCCCTTCTAGTAATATATAATGGGGAAGCAGTTATCAAGACGTGTCTAAGATAGCTGGCCGATATACTGATGATGTAAAGGGCGCATCCATGGTTATTAATAGCTACCTCCGTAAAGGTGAGTTTGTTGTATTTGATCTCACTAGGTCAGAGGACGATCCTCTTGCAATTCGGTTAAGGTTTGATATACTATTGAACTTGCAGAAGGAGAAAGAAGCTAGGCAGAAGCGCAAAGAAAAAAATACCCTAGCTAATAAATAAAATTAGTCAAATTGTGGATCAACCGAGATGATTTGTTTGTTCACAAACTTCCAAAGCACTTAATTATATTATGGGCTTAAGCCCAAAAATCATAAAAGTAAATATATATATACTTCATAGATTTTTATTTCGTATCGACATTTTTCTACCTGTGTTGGAAGTAAATAAAAAAAATATATTAATATTATCAATATCAGAATCGATCAGTCAGATTAGTTAAACAATCGTAATTTCTGTCCCATCTCTCAATCTTATTACAGTATCTTTTGGTAGATTAAGATGAGATGGTAGTAAATTAATTTGTTTTGCAAACAAAGACGACATAAATAATTTGTTTGTATTTCCCTCTCTGGGTCTAACAATATTATTTAAGCTAGGCGCACTTACACTACATTGCATAGGAGGAATAGTTACCTTGGAACTAGTCAACGAATGTGATTTATCTGGTATCAAAGGAACCTCTTCAGTCTTAGCTTTGGAACATTCATTATCCCATTGATATTTCATCAAGTCTTCGGGTTTAACCTCGTACCCGTATCTGCGCCATTCACTAAAATACATTTTTTTTGGTTTTACATCTGTAATCTTTATCAATTTCTAGCAATCGAAGCAAATAGCCATTTGACTTTTATAGATCCTAGGCCTGAAGTATCTATCATCTGTCTCTATACGTTCGCCAAATCCTGCATAAAGACAGTGCACATGATAAACACTCCAATATTTCTCGGCTAACAGTGTTTGCATAGTACCTCTTACTCGAACAGCCCATTGCTACGGAGTTTCGTGCAATCTAATAATGGAGAAATAATCATAGATTTTTTCTATTTTGATTATTTTTTCAAGATCTGTATCGCTTCTATGATTTCTCATATATGCACTAACATATTTCATATCATATCCAAGATGATTATTAATGGGTTTAGGTACAACCTTATTATATCTCTCATCTAGAATAATAGTAATATCCAACATATTTGATGTTTTTATCAACTTATATTATTAGAAATATCAGATTCATTTTTCTGGGCATAAGAAAAAATAATGCGAATATATGTGTGATTTACATGCCCTATTCTTTTGGCAAAAATTTATTTATTTTTTTTTTTTTTTTTTTTTTTTGTAAATGTCATAGTTGAAACTTTATTTAAAAAAAGTAGAGAAAGATCTACATTTAAAGATTTCGAACTACACTTGTGCTACTAAT